AGAGAAGATGGCGGATGAGAAACACCGCCAGACAGAGTGTCTCTGCAGAAAAGACAGATTCTAGCAGAAATTAGAAGAAAGAAGCAAGAAGACGAGCCTACATCTGATGAGGGTCGGAAGGAGGAGTACCTGAGACCATGGGAGACTCCACAGGAGGAGGTCATGGAGAAGAACTGGAAGCTGGGACCCCCGGAGCAGCCCAGAGACCAGCGGGAAGTGTAGGTGGATGTGCCGTTTCCCCTCCCCTGCATCCCGGACTGCTGGTGGGCTCCCCAGCGAATAGAGAGACCCGCGGACACCAGCCCAGCAACGGCCGCTGCCAGTGAGTGGTAAGCCAGTAGCGGACGCGGCACCAGGCTCCAAACTCCCTTGGGGCACCTCCGTGTGCACAGACCCGAGCCGCGTGGCAGACGCCATATTGCCTCCTCCTCCCCTCCCCTGACCCTACCCGAGGCTGCCCAGAGAGACAATATAGCCACCAGCCGGAGGCACCTACAGGGAACAGGACTTTCCCTTTTGGGGCCCTACAGCTGACTGAGGGGAACACAGATTGTGAGCTCCCTACCCACCAGCCCTCCTAGGTGCTGCTGGCACAGTGATCCCAGGAGAACGGGGTAGACCCTGAGGTTCAGAGACACAGACCCAGCGTGGGCTCCCTGTGGGTGAACTGGGACTGGCACTGCTCTCCCTGGTGGGGATATCGTTAGAACTCTGGGACCCAGAGGTCAGACCTGCAGACCAGATCCCATGCACCGAGGCCTCACATTGCCTGGGGCACAGAAGGGATATTTGTGAACAGCCTACTGCGGTGTGTGTGCCTTTAGGGGCAGATCAGCTTCCTAGACGGCAACCCTCCCCCCAAAGGGAGGCTGTGCTCCCAGCCCAGGTGGCGTTCCTGTGCAGGGAACCTCCCCGCCGGCAGCACAGCCAGGGGAGGCCTGGTGTGGCGTGTGGTCTGACCTGCTGGCAGAGGCCCAGGAGTAGCTGCGGACTTGGGGACGGTGGAAACAAGCCAGGCCCGCTCCAGACTGCGGGTCTCAGACAGCCCCACCCCCATATGCTGACTCTCTGACTGAGCTGGGCCATTCCAGCCCCTCCCTGTCAGCTTTGCCTGGAAACAGAGAACAGAACTTTGACCCCTGCTAACGACATTGGTGGTGCCTGAGGGTAGGCTTACCCAACCCAGCTCCGCCCAGACTCTCTCCTAGACTAGCCCTCACTGAGGGGGAGAAAAGGACACACCTAGAAGTCCCAGGGCCATACCCACCACCTGAGGCACTAGAGTGCCTCCCTACAGGAACAAGAGCTGATAACAGGACATAAATACAACAGCTTAGCCTGTTCTTCCAAGCAAGCGCCACCTACTGACAGGGAGAGCATCCTGCACACCCTTTTCACAACACCTACTGACTCATTATAAAGGGAGTGGTCGAATCTCACCCACAGGCACCACCTAACCTCAGAAACTTAAAAGAAGGCATGTGAATAACCCAAATAAAAACTAAAGAAAAACAATGGATCGAACATGGGGAAGAAATCAGCCCCGAAGGAAATCCGCCCCCCCCCCCCGTCCGGCCCGTCCCTGGAAATATGAAAAACAAAACACACCCCCCCAAAAGAGGAGCACTTTTTTTCTTTAGGTTTTGTATTGGTATTCACATGCCTTCTTTATTCTAGCGTTTAATTCCTGTTAGATTCACACTCCTTTATAATAGTCAAGTAGTGTTGTGAAAAGGGTGTTGCAGGGATGCTCTTCCTGTCAGTATGCCTCCTAAGAACACTATACTTTCTTATTTGATGTCCTGTTATCAGGCTCTTGTTCCTGTTTTAGTGGAGGCCACTCTTGGAGTGCCTCAGGTGGTGGGTGTATGGCCGCCCCCCTGGCGAGGACTTGTAGGTGTGTCGCCTTTTCTCGCGCCCCCTCAGTGCAGGCCTAGTCGTGAGGCGGAGAGAGTCGCTGGGCGGAGCTGGCGTTGCGGTAGCCTACCCTCAGGCACCACCAATGTCGGTTAGCCATTAGGGTCAAAGTTTTCCTGATTCTCTGCCTTTCCGATGGGCAAAAGCTGAACAGCGGAGGGGGGCTGGAATGCGCCCGGCTCAGTCAGAGGTCTTACATGTGGGGGTTGGGGCCTGTCTGCAGAACCCGCAGTCTGGAGGCGGGCCTCGCTTCTTTCCACGGTGCGGGGTCCCCAAGTCCGCCAGCTTACTCCTGGGCCTCTGCCAGCCAGGCCAGGACCACATGCCACCAGGGCCTTCCCCCTTGCCTGTGCTGGCGGTGGGGAGGCTTCCCTGCCACAGGAATGGCCACCTGCGGCTGGCGAGCACGGCCCTCCCTTTGGGGGGAGGCGTTGCCGTTCTAGGAAGCTGATTTGCCCCTGAAGATACACACACTGCAGTAGGCTGATTCACAAATATCCCTTCTGTGCCCCAGCAATGTGAGCGGCTCCGTGCATGGGATCTTGGTCTGTCAGGTCCAACCTCTGCGGGGTCCCAGAGTTTTCGCCTTAACTATGATCCCCAGCAGGGAGAGCAGCCTGCCGGTCACATAGTTCACGCCCACAGGAGAGGCGCCCACGCTGGGGGCGGTTCTGTGTCTCTAACCTCAGTTCTTACCCCGCTTCTCGCTTGGAGGTCACTGTGCCGAGCGAGCACCCTGAGGACGGCTTGGGCGGGTAGGGGAGCTTCACAATCTGGGAGTTTCCCCCTTCAGGTCAGCTGTAGCGGCCCCAAAAGAGAGGAGCGCTCCCGTTTCCCTGTTAGGTGCCTCCGCTTGCGTAATGTGTTCTCTCTGCCCTCGGGGTAGTGCGAAGGGAGGGAGGAGGAGGGGCAATTTATGGCGTTCTGCGCTGCGGGTGGCTCGGGTCTGTTGGACACGATGGGCTGGTGCAAACCCGAGCACGTCTGGGCGGCGCGTGGTGCCGCTCGCGCGGGCTACTGGCTTCCCACTCGCACTGGCAGCGCGCCGTCACCTGGGCTTGGTGTCTGCAGGTCTCTCCACTCGCTTTGGGGAGCCCCACCAGCGCAGTCCGGGATGCAGAGGG